CTCTCTCTCTGTCTTCTTGTGTTTCTTCTTATTCTTCTTGTTCTTCACCAGCACAGACGAAGGACGCGCAGCAAGCATGCTTTACGCGGTTCGAGTTTGCCTGAAACTCCTTCCTCACTGGAAGCGCGGTCTTTTGTGTCTCCCTGCCAGGACCAGTGCCCCGCTCTGCTCTCTCTCTCTCTCTCTCTCTCTCTCTCTCTCTCGCTCGCTCACACTCTGCCGCAAGCTTAAGGAACTTGGCAAACCCTGCTCCCCCCGCCCAATGCTTGTCACGACTTCAAAACCAATCGAGCTGCTACAACATAGCCGCCGAAGCAAAAGCCGTAGGCAAACATCGGCACCTCTCCGTCGCGTACAATTAGAGTCACTTAGAGCTCAGGTGGGTCTATGAGGGAGGGCCTCTTGTGTCAAAAGGTGTATCCGTCTGGGGTCGGTCGAGTCCGGGCCAGGCCTTCAGGCACGATGACTATGGCCACACCTTAGATACATCGCTTGATGGGGTTCGAATGCTCACGCATTCCATACCAATGCCTGTAACTGCACCCTTTACGATACGATAAGTCTGGATTTCGCCGTCACGACTATCTCGATTTGGGCTGCAGTGGTTGTGGTCGGTGGCGGATGGCGTTGCCACCACACAGTGGTAGTGCTTGCTGCAGCAGTGCTTCGTAGGACTGGGAGTGTGATCTGTGCAGATCTTGCTTTCCGACATGGGGGTTTCCGAAAATTGGGGACCCATATACCCTAAGTATAAGGACCCCAAAATAGGGTAATCCTTAGTTTCGGAAACTCCCATTTAGGGAACCGTAAAGCCTCCCCAGCCGAACATGTTGCACCTCGGGGTATTTTGCCGCAAGCGCATCTGTGAGCTTTTGGATCTGTGGAGCCAGGACTCCTGAAGCGGGCTGTTGGAATATCCAGCTTTGAAGCTTCAGGGGTGCAAAGGTGAAGACTTCAGCATTTCTGGTCCCTGTGTCCCTGTGCTTCTGCATGTCTAGAGCTCAACTCAACCCTGCGGTGTTCATGGAAATTTAGAGTATGAGGAGAATGGGTGAAACTCTGTTCTGTTCTATGTTCTTCCATCAGCTGGACATGTACTTCAGCTGGGAACAACAGCTGCCATCACCCACGTCCGGAAGGAGCCTAAACTTAAAAAACAAGTCTTGCCAGCGTCAACGCATATGCGAGTCTGCAAGTGCTGGCCCTGCATCTTTATCACCCTATCTCTGAGGCTTATGCTTTGAAAACATCGCCAAATCCCTAGTGTAAGCCCGAAAATGCAAACAAGCTGCCCCAGCTGTAGCGATACCTGATCCGATACAGCATCTTCCTGGATCGCAGGGAAGCTGCTTCGTTTAGGCCTTCATGCCTCCGCTGTTTTTTTGTGATCATGGGCGCTATCTTGGGGCTCTGGAGGCCCGACTACTGGAGCCTGACACCTTGCAACCGCAATCCAGGCCCTGACAAGGGCTGCAATACTGTAAGTACTAGGATGCCAAAATAATAAGGAGTCGATCTGTCCGAGATGCTTTATACTGTAATTCGATTTCACGTCGTTTCGAAGCGAACTCTTGAAAGGCGCGTGTCTCTGGCTTTTCAATGCAGGCTTGTTGCCTTGTAAATCTTGGCTTTGGCATCGTCAATGCAAATTGTTGGCCTGGTGAGACTAGAAAGCGTGTGGCCGCATTCATGCTACCATGAAGCAATTGCGCTCAGAAACCATGCCTGTCTGTACCGCTGGACAGATTCACTGTAGTATGAGCGGTATTTCTAAAAAGTGTCATAAGAGTACAGCATAAGAATATTGCTACTAATCACTGTCGCTATCATTACAATGACTACTATGATTATTTTGCTCGTATCCATGGTGAGCCTTCTCTCAATGCTCTGCGCCAAGTCTCGGCATGTGCAATTTCAGCCGCAAGCTCGCCCAGTTGCTGCTGGAATAGTCGCCGGAAATAGGATCGCCATGGAAAAGGTCCTCAGAAAAAGGCATCAGAGTGTAGGGTTTTTTTGGGGGCACAGCAAGATACAGCAAGCTGTAATTAGATCCATCAATGAGTGCCTACTATGCCAACTCGTCTTGACTCTTGTCATTGTCAAGAGAGTCTTATTATGATATTTTCACAATTCTATTGATTGTAGTTTGGTTTTGGTTGTGACGTTCTTACCTTTGAGCAGCAGAAAGTACATAGCCATGTAGCGCTCATCAAGTATTAGGGTGCTCTAGGGAGGCCTGCGCAAGTCGAAACGTCGAAAGTTCGGTGTTTAGGCCACGGTCTTGAGGCATAGACATAGACCCTGACATCTGCGCGCGGGGTCCGGAATGCATTGACTGCTTGGGGCGATAGTGCTTTTGGCAGGCCACACTCAATGGGCGACAAGACCGAAACTTCTGCAAAGTTTGTACATCAACGCATAAACCCACGGTGGCATGCTTCATGTACAACCGCTACACGATTTGGCTTTCTGTCATCCCAAACCCAGTTCTCGGTGCACTTAGATTACATACTCCAAAACCTGGAGGCTAAATTCCCTGATAGTTTACCCTCTGAACTTCTCCGAACCCGACATCGCAGAAACGCCTCAAGCCTTAATCCAAAACCGTCTATTGCCTTCGAACTGCCGGCATGCAAACGAGGCTGTTGGGAACGGCTTCCGCCATCTGGTCGCAGATCCGTCGGTGGCGCCCTGCTTGTAGATATATACGTAGTATTTTACACTATGCAATATGACATCTATCTTGGCGTCTGTAGGGGGCTCCGTCCTGAAGGTCTGCTTAGGATTGGAAGGGCTTGCTACGCCTGCCTTTGGCTAGAGGGCAGCCTGTCAGGAATCCATCCTCCTTCCGGCATGATGGGAACCGGCAGACGAAACCCGAATGCAGGGTAGTAATGTGTTGTCTTGGCTTCTCGTCATCTTGATCTCAAGAGCTCCCCCAAACCCCAAACTGTTAGGCTTTCGGGGTTTGAGTCTCAAACCCTGAACCCTGGCAGCTGCCAGGCATTCGAGTTTGGAGCCATGAAGTGCCCCACCGATGAACGGAGCAAAACATCCAGCCTGTGTATTTCGTAGTCGTAGTATTGATGTATTGATAGTAATAACAAGGCACTGACCGGAGCACCAATGATAACAGCAAGCAGTAGTGGTAAGTAATTCGAACTGGCTCCAAGGGTTCAGCAACATGGCTGGAGCATCCAGCAAACATGCTACACAGCTACAACTTCCCAATTCGTACTAATACCCTGAATCCTAAACTGTTACTAAGACTTACTAAGCGCTGCTTGAGCTTCAAAATGGCTGTCCGACCTGAGTACGGGCCGAAGACGTCGGAAAACGCGAGGATAACCATGGAGGGCTTCCTGGCTCGTTGCAACTACGGGTCTGCAAGGAAAAAGCTAGCGCGGAAGCACGAACATCTGAAGTGACAACGACGATGATACTGCCGAAGGGGGATGCGTTGACCAGGACTCGTCAATGAAAAGATTGATTTTCAGTCTCGGAATCGGAAGTCATGACAGACGCCAAAGCAATAACATCGGACAATACGAGTCGGTTTTGTTGAGGCAGTACTTGCCGGAATGGTTAACGACACTCAGCATGGGGCCAATCGTTCCAAATCGAAACCGCATGTTCAGCGCCACACTCGTCTGCTCTGTGCTGTACACAGCTTGTACTCGGGAGTGTACACCTAATTACTATTGCTCATAACATGGGGAAGAGCTCTCGCAACTGGGGAACAGTGACCCACGGTTTGCCGGTCTGCAAGACTCGGGAAGCGTCTTTGGCAGGGCCGCGGTTTGGAACTCTGCTGCATAGTGCGAAGCCGAATTCCAGCTGAGCTGCTCTTTTTGACCGCTGAAGTAGCAGTCCAAGTCGGCCTCTGTCTCCTGCGAGCCTGCCGGCAGCTTGGCAATGAAGAAACAGCAACAAAGGCTTTACCTCAGACGTCACAAGGAACAAACCCAAAGTTCTGCAGCCCCAAACTTCGCCCCTAAGATCGGTTCTGCCCAGCTGAGGTTGAAGCTTTGAAGTGACTGCAGCATGGCTCTAGAGGCGTCCGAATGACACACAGTGTGCCTTGTCAAGAGAGGTGCACCGCTTCCAGAAAAGCGAGGTGCTGTACTACATGCCCGACTGACCAGACTCTACTGTGCAGGGATAGATAATACTGACTGATCCTTGTCATGGTCAGTGCGGCAAAACAGTGATACAACTCACACGAGTATACCATATGTTCCCCTGCAGAGGATAAAGCACAAATGCACACACACACACAGACAGAGACATACATAAAGAGGTTCTTGGGAGGTTTCTCAAGCCAAGAGACCGAAGAAAGACCCACAGGTGCTTTTTTCACATTTCTGAATCCTACCAAGTGCCCGCCCATCACTTCAGCCTGTGAGAACGGCCGTATCGGCAGCCAAAGGCCCATGCGAGCCCGATGGGCAGCAGGGTGCGGCCATCGTCGCGCTGGCTTGGGGAGCGCCCCCAGAGCCCCAAGGGCTGAAACAAACCGATGCCTGCACCTAAACAGCTTTGAGCCACAATCGGGGTGCATTTCGAAGAGGCGTAATTGTACCTATCATCCTTATACAAGTGACTTGAGGCTTCCCAATAGAAGCCTGCGATGCGGTCGACACCTTCTGTCAATCCACAGGTGGACCCCGAATGGTGATAGGTGTAAGACATCCATGCCAAACCCTCGAGATATCAGGACAGGCAAGGAAATGTTTCATCTAGACCAATGATGCCCTCGGCGAGTCTGTCCTGAGCTAAGGGTGCAGGCCAGGAAACCGCTCCTCTGGAAGCCACCATTCTGCTCAATGACTCCATGACCCCTTAACCCCGGATCTCCGATGACCGAAACTCGAAAGCACATGTGGGGAATTCTCTAGATTAGGGTCCCTTTTTGGGACCCCAATATAGTACGGAACCCTTATAAAAAGGACCCTAAAAGGGACCCTAATTTGGACAGCTACCCATGTCAAGCTCGGCACTGCCAACATCCGGACGGCGTTCAGGCGACGAGCCCCGCAGGTGCTGTCCTAGATGTCAGGCGGTGCCACTAGTGTATCTCACCATCATTGCTGAATGCGACGGCGACTATGACGACTCTTGGTACCACCACCCGCAGACCCCACACTCGGCAGGTTTCATCGGCTCATCATATGAGAAGATAAGACGAACACCGAAAAAAGTCATCACCAGCTACAGTCATCCAATTGCTTTTGCAGGAGTTGACATGGACACAGGGTAGTAGCATGGAGCCATCCAAAACTGCAATGTCCCCGACGGCTGCTGCTTGCTCTGGTGCCGGGTACAGATGTGGACTGACATGCCGAAAGCCTTTGCAAGGCATTTGCACGAACAATCGCAGCGAAAGGCGAAGAGCTAGTCGAAGAAAACATGCATTTCGTCGTCGCCTCGTCTTGGCCTTCATCATGTTTAGTGTGTCGTGCTGTATCGATAACAGCACAAACCTGAGACTCTACAGCATGTCTCGTGACGTGGGAGAGGATCTTAGAACATGTGATGGCCGAAAGAGAGAACTTCATGAACATGAGTTGCTCAATCAGCGCATGCCGGCACCTCGAACACCGAAACAAACAGGCAGCTTAAGAGGAAGGAAGCAGTCGGCTCAGTGTTGGCAAATGTTGCCGTATCGTGGTGAACCCAGAAACTGACAATACAAAAAAGGACAGTGAGGAGCCAGTGTAGTACTACCCTTGACAAGGAAGTTAGGATGCTCTTCGCAATGCCTGTGTTGTGATATTCATTCCACAACGAGTAAGTGTCTGATCCCACGAACCAGCTCTTTAAGATTTTTGGAATATTCCTGAATTAAGGAATATTGGAGTCTCTGGGCTCTCTGGAGGACGCCACTTGTTCCTTCCAATCCACGC